TAATTGTTGTAGCATCTGTCCCACTGTTTATGGACAAGTAAAACATAAGAATTTCAGCCATTTAAAATACTCATTTTAACTTTACTGGGTGTGTTTAGCTCTGTATGGCAGAGAAATGGATGAAGAAGAGGAGGAGGAGGAAGAAGAGGAAGAGCAGCTGGTGGTGCACAAATTACCAGACCTGCTGTTCCGCAAGGCTCCTCAGCTGCTGCAGTACACAGCAGCCTTGCAGTCGCGTTATGACAGCAGTGATGATGATGATGATGATGATGATGATGATGATGGTAGTGACAGTGAAAAAGAACTGGAGATCCAGAGAGAGCGTCGGGGAGAGCTCAGACTGGGCAGCCACACAGGTACAGTAAAAAGCATGAAATCTGATGCCTGGTGAGAAATCAAATGGGTATCATTGTATTGTTTTCCTATTAAATCTTAAAACCAGTAAGCTATTAAAATAACCTTGCTTTATGGTGACTGTTTATTTTTCAGTGTGTCTAGATGACTCTTTTGGGGAAGACTGCACTGTGAGCTGCGAAGACTGTGTGAATGGAGTGTGTAGTGAAAACAGAGACCGATGTGAATGTTTACCTGGTTGGACTGGGGTTATCTGCAATGAGAGTAAGTATACCAGTGGCTAACATTTTACTGTTACATCTGTATGTGCAATGTTACATCTTTTCTTTGCAACACAGATTCTTGACAAGTGCTGTAGTGAGCTAAACTCTGTACAACTGTTACCGCTCTCCTCTAAATGCTTTCCTTCAAGTATCCACAGACAGCAATAAAGCTAATATTTCCTCAAATGTGGACACATTTCATTAAAAGAATGTAAAAAAATAAACAACTGTCTGGTTGAGACAAGCACATGGATGGAAGACCAAACTGAATCTTTTAAGACCAGGTTATATGCTATACTGTACATGACAAGTGGATAATATTAACAATACAGAACACACATACATACAACTTAATTTTTCCCACAGGACACATCCTCTTCTATGTCTGTTTGAACTACCCCCAGAAATTTTATCTAGATAGGGCACTGCGTGCATTGATCCACAGCCATGTATCAAAACTTGTCACCTCCTCCTGTGTGGGGTGCGGGTTTGTTTATGGGCTCCTGAAAGCTGAATCTGCCTGCTACTGGTCTGATGCCAAGGCCCACAGCAAGAGCACAGCCCGAGGCCAAGGAGGTCCAGTTTCATGATTAATGGCTGTCTTTGGTCTGAACTCGAGCCAGGCTGGTAATCATAAGAGAAGAGCCACGTGGGATACTGTAATTTCATTAGAAGCAATCAGTCGTTTTCAGAAACACTTTCCCAAGAAAGTGAAAGTGCTGGGTTGGGACATGGGTAACGTTTTCAGGTGGAGCAGATGAGCAATATTACTGCCTTAAGCAGATTTATTGGAGTTGTTACAGTAGGCAGTAATGTGGTAGAGTATAAGCAAAAGAAACATTTTGGACCTTCTTACCTGACTTTGTAGAGTTAACATGCACAGTAAATCAAATCTGAGGAAAAGGAAACAAATCAGCCATTCACACAAGTGATCAGGTAAGAACAGTGCTAATACAGTTAACACAAAAGGAGAGGGCGGGAATGCAACCTGACAATCACTGTATGACATTTTTCTGTAGTACTTTGGCCCAAACTCTCCCATGGCACAATTCACTGGACACAATCCGTTGCAGCAGGAGAAGAGAACAATCAGTACTTATGTTACAGTGCTCTTAAGTGCTTTTGATGCTTGTTATTGAATAATACACACTTAGTAAGAAGAGGAGCATCCGTTTGTTTTTACATTACCTCATGAAGTACACTGGCAGATGGATAAGGAGGGCTACCCCAATTTTATGCTTGTAATTTTCACCCTTACCTTAAATATAGGCATCACTAGTCACCAGATGTTGTGTGTCTGCAGCTGGAGCACTGCATGTAGTCAATGAGAAACTTGTGACTACTGCTGAAGTGAGAGTAAAATATGCACAACTGTAATGTGGACTATGAAAATGCACCTTCTTAAACACTGCCTTGATTCCAACCTTTACACCGCTTTGTATATTACATCAGCTGTTGAATTTACACAAAATCACAACTTACAGAATACATTCATCTTATAGTAAAATTACCACAGCAACAATGATAAACCTCTACAAAAATCCACCTTATGACCTTAATTTGTTTTAAGTGTTGGAAATAAACATGTTGTAGGTGTTCTCATGCAGCTTGTTTTTGAATCTAGGCTCCATCAGACAAGAGCCGTCTTGTATATTTCCTGTTTTATGAAGCACTAGTTACAAGAATAAAATGTTTGTGGTATTTAAACAGCTCTGTTTATTTTGCACATCACCTCAACAAGCTTTAAAAACATCACATTGCCTCTTCCATCGACATGACGTGCAATCACTGCAGCATAACACCACGCACTTTACTGTTCATTAGCTTTGGTTTCCAGATGTACATGTCACATCTGGTGCAAGATGTCACTGCTTAATATTTTTATGAAAAAAAAAATTGTGTGTAGAAAATTTTGATATTCTATTCTCTCTAAACTAAACACTTAGTTTAGTCTGCTTCTTCATTTAGTGTAGGATCAGTGTCTATTTGATGTTATTAAAATGTCATAACCTCCATAAATCATTTCAAGATGTTTTATCTTCCCATGGAGTAAAATAAATGTGCTCTGTGTGACCTGGACTTTAAGCAGACATTCAGTTGTTGGATTGTAACACTTTAACACGTCTTAAACAGCCAGCTGGTTCTTGTTGTAATTACTAACAAGAGCAGAGAGATTAACAATGTCACACAACATGTGGAAAAACAGAATGGAAGATGGACGTGTTGGCTGGCCTCTAGTGAACCAGACTTTGTATTTCCCACAGTCTGACCCACTTAGTAAAACTGAGAATGGTGGTGTCTCTCTGCCCCCCCACCCTTATAGCTTGTCCACAGGGGACCTATGGTCACACCTGTAACAGTCTGTGCCGCTGTCAGAATGAAGGCTTGTGTGACCCTGTGACCGGGAAGTGTTTGTGCCCCCCAGGGGTACAGGGCCTGCTCTGCAAAGATGGTTAGTGTACATTCTTTCCTCTGCAGACACACAGCACACACACACATGCACACAGGACACACACACAAACAACAACCAGGCCTTAGGTCAGTGATTCCAAACATTTTTTGCTTGTGACCCTTTGATGTGAATCAATACGCCCTTAATACTCTGTCACAGGTTGTGCATCTGTGAGTTGTGATCATTTCAATCATGGACTGATTTTTCCCTTTTGGCATTGTTTAGTTTGAAAGAGTTTTAAGGCCTGGAAGGATTAAACTATATCACAAGACAGAAGCGAGATTTAGAGAGAGTTCTAAAGACTAAACATAATTATGCATATCAGAATTTAGCTTTGCCTTATTTCTTACCTGGGCAGTCATCTTGTGACCTTTTTAGGGGTCTCGATCCCCAGGCTGGGAACCCCTGCTCAGTGTTATTTTTTTAATGTTTGCAGAAAGTATCCTTAAAAAATTTAAAGCTGGCATCTTACAAATTGGTGCTACATTCCTTTGTTGATTTTGTTCCTTGCTCTTATTACAATAAAGCTAATTTTACAGAGGCAGACATAATCATTTTTGACACAATTCATGTTCACAGGTTGCCCAAGGGGTTATTTTGGGAGGCACTGTAGAAGGAAGTGCAACTGTCCCAACAATGGACGCTGCCATCGTCTGTATGGAGGCTGCCTGTGCTCACCTGGGTTGTATGGCCGCTTCTGCCACCTGTGTGAGTACCAACCTGACCTCATCACATCACCCATAACATAATTATGATGATGTTACTATCACAAACAATGAAATATTAGTGACTCATAGTCTTTATAGGTTTAATGCCATTAATAAAAATGGATTACAGCGATGGCAAAATAACCTAGAGGGAAAAGCCACCTTGTTGCTGATAATAGTTGTATTTCATTTAACCTGGACAGTTGGTTGAATACAGATAATGTGACATGAAACAAGAATGACAATAAAATAAAAGAAATGATCAAAACCATCCATGATAAACTTTAGGTTTTGGTGTCAGCTGTCAACTCAGCATTTTCTCAGGTTCCTAAACAGACACAGAACTTTGTTAGTTTGTGTTGAACCAAAAAAATGCTACCACCAGATTATATTTAGGAAACTATGTACAAATTGTGAAAACACAGAGCCCCAGCTTCCTGTCAGTGTTCACTCTTCATCGCTGGCTGTGCTTTGCCGTTTTGATGGTGGCACCAGGTGAGAGGGCAGCTCTCGGGGGAGCCAGTGGCCCTGTAGTTTTCCCTCAATCAAGTGGACTGCCAAAGCAAACTCCTCGTTGTCTAACATGCCGTCTCTGTCTACATCAGCCAGCCTCCAGACATGAGCAAGCACAGAATTGGGAAGAAGGGTGGACGTCATCCATTTTTTGACTTTGGTGCCACTCAGTTTACCCTCATTTGGACTGAGGTTATAAAATATCTCATCATATTTGGGCTTGTATTTTTCCACTGCCCACTCATCAAAATCTGTTTCACTGCTCTCATCATCTCCGGGGAGTGCCTTGAAAGGATCTCTCCTATAATGCTCAGACCTAAATGTCCCTAAAAATTCACCATCCAAGACACCAGGGAAGGATTTCTTCTTCAGCTGTTGTTGTTGAAGTAAAGGCACCAGGTTTGCAATTTCAGTGGCCAGAAGTTTATCCAAGGAGGCCATTAGACTTGGTTTCAGTCTTTTGAACTTTGAGAAATCTTGACCCAAAAGTTTCTCCTGAAAATGTATGCAAAATTACCTGTTAGACTCACAGAACATACTGTAGAATATTTTATGAAAGTATTTCTTTATGCAGCAAATAAAATATAGTGTTTGACCTGCATCTTGGTGCAGTCAGGAAAGTCTCCAGCTGGGACTTGATGCTGTTGCTGGATCTTGGTGAAAATCACAGGAAGCTGGTAGATCAGATTGTGCTTCTTGCTTTCTTTGCAAAAAATGGTTGGCATCTCCTGCTTCAGATAGCTGATGATGTGGGCATGAGCCTAGCAGGGGTGAAAGCTCAAATAAGGCACACAGCCACCATAACTGCAGCTCACTTTGTAATTATTTACCCAAAGTATGGCTAAGAATGGAATATATCAGACAATCTCTCACCCTCACTAAGCGTGCCCTCTTCACCAGGTCGTTCAGCTTGCGCACTGCGGCATTGCATGGCAGGTTCCTTATGTCAGCCAAAAGATCCTCCTCTTCCAGCTCTATCAGCTGGTAGTGGTCACACACCTGCCTTGGCTCTGACCAGAAAGATCCAATGTAAACCCGCAGGATCTCGGGGGTTCGAAACACTTTCCCCAATGACCACATGAGGGCGCCATACACTCTCATGAGCTGTTGGGAGTCCACTCTGTCAGCCTTGTTGAGAACCACACGCAATTTGTCTTCATAGCCATATAGAGCCCTGAAGGCTCGGTTGAGCTCATCAGAGAAGTCCAGTTTATGTGCATCGAACAGCAGGATGATTCGATCCACACGCTCAGCCAACCAGCGCAGCACCGCTGGGAAGTCGTAGCCTGGGGATGAAGAATGAAAACACAGGGTTTTCATTAACAGCCTCACTCTTCATGATGTAGAGGAACCCATCCCAGTGGCCTCTGCTGGTTTCCAGCCATTTCAGTTACTATTACTTACTGCCTGTCTCCACCCAACTTCACAGGCACATTACTTCCATCTGCTGTGTGTCTGACTTGAGTGAATGATGCTGGGCTGAGATATTTTACTGCAACTACCATGACTTTGTTCTTACCAGGAAATTAAATAATGCCAGTAGTAACAATGCCATCCATTTTTTTGGTCTAAAACTGAATATTTCAAGTTATATCCTCTTAACATTACAAAAGAAACTAGAAAGGTTTTCTGTCTCACCTCGGCTTAGTTTTCTTTTGGCAGCAGTTAAGATCCCTGGTGTGTCGATAATGCTGATACTTTCAAGGACCTGATTTGACATCTGAACACACTGGAACCTGCAAAAACATTTAAAATTATGCATGATTCTTTACTAAAAACTCTGGCAAAGCATCAGCCTACTATGTTTGTATCAGATGCAGGACATAGGCAGGGCCTTTAGAATATGCCTGAATAAAAGAAGAAGAAGTTGGAACAAACTAACTTTTATGAGATTCCAACATTAAAATAATAATATAAAAAATCCATTATTTACTCTTTCTCTCCCTCTCCCTCCCTTCACTTTTCTCAGCCTTTAAAAAAATTTTTTTTTTGTTCTGTCCTTCACCTGTTCAGAAAAGTATTTCCAAAAGGGTTGAGGTTGCGAAAGGGCTTTCTTGGATCCATTGTAAGGGCATTTCCAGGGATGATTCCTTCCTCCTCTCCATACATGAGGGCAGTAAAACAGTCAGTGGTTGGTTCCGGTCCAACTCTGCTGCCAGGAAAATCTTGTTCAATGAGATACCTGAAGACATACACAGTGCAAATCATCACTGTTGCCATCCTTTCCTCCACTGCAGCGCTTACTGTAATACAATACATGTACAGATAAGACTTTTGCAGCCTCTTTTCAGTGCTCGAAGCATGAAGTCCTACCTGATAAAAGTTGTCTTTCCCGTTGAGTACTGACCCATCACCAGCACCATTGGCTTGTTGTCAAAGTCTGCATCCTCATAGCCCGGTGAGTGAAAATGATGGAAAGAGTAATGTTTCTCTATTGGCAGCAACCTCTTATAATAAAGACTCTTCAGCTGCTCTGTCACCATATTAACATCCTCCAATGTTTTAGGGTTGCTCCCAAGCCTCCAGAAGGACATGGCGATGAATATGTGCTCTTGATTTCTGTGTGGAACCAACTCACTCTTCTAAGACCAAGCTGAATGATGGGAGAACATGCACTAGGATTATTATCAGATTCTCACAGCTGTCCACTCCATCCTGCAGCGGGACATTTAGAGGGTGGAGAGGGTGTAACCAGAGCCTGCAGCTGCACCTAAGACAGAGTCCATGTCGAGAGGGACAGGGTGGAGCAGAGTTCAGCTTTGTTGCTGAGTTGAGGCAATCTTGGCAAAATCCATTCTCGGAATCACTGAATGCAAACGTGGCAGTGCTGAAGTTTTAAAAATCTTGCATAATACTTTATTTATTCAGCTCTTCGTTTCATATAATAAAGTTTGTATAAAACTACCAACAACAGTAGCAACTGTCATCATGTTTATCATTCACACTTTGTAGGAATGTGCTTACACAAGTACTGTAGTTTGGTCTCAAGTTAAATATGTAAATATACTGCAGTAGGGATGAATGATGCTCTATATTTTTAGTTATAGAAATCAAATGAAACAAGAGACAGCAGTCACATGAGTTAAACTGGCAGAAGCCTGGCACTGTGATAACATGGTAGCTGTTTTTATCGTTTGGTTCATGCTAAAATGTAATCTGATAGTAGAAGGGATTATTCTCAAAGTGTAAAGTGCTTTCTTTGCTTAACTTAAAAGAAACTCATAACTATATAAGTGTAATTCATATATGTAAACTTTTTGTAGAGTATACAAACATGAGAACATTTTGAAACCAGCCACTGTTTTAGCCTAATTCATGCTCTTGTCTGTTTTTAAACCTCAGCTTGTCCCAGGTGGACGCACGGTGCGAGCTGTTCCAAGGAATGTGACTGTGTTCAAGAACATTCCACTGGCTGTGATCCCAAAACAGGGAGCTGTTTCTGTAAAGCCGCACACCACGGCTTACGGTGCGAGAAAGGTACAAGCACTTATTCATTTATTCAGTTTCAACATCCAAGTGGATGCAAAATGTCAGATCAGCCCACAGTGATTACAGGTTATGATTTGAATAACCTAACTGTCTACCCTGCATAGTTTTACTAAATGTTTAGATTGAAATTGTGCATCATGTTAATCTTTCCTTGTATGGTTTATGTGTTTATATGTCCCAATGTAGAATGTGAACTTGGCCTCTTCGGCGCAGGCTGTGAGCAGCAATGCGACTGTCCAGGTGGAAGACCATGTGACCCCAGCACTGGAGAGTGCAGCCAGCGGTGTCCTGCGGGCCTTCATGGGGATAAATGTCAGCAGGGTAAGACAAAGAGCAACTTCAGTGCAATTTGTGCATCAAGCTACAAAACATAAAGAACAATATATGAAAAAGGACATAAGTCAAGTACATTTCAGGCATTATTCTTGTTTTTAAAGTTTCTTTCAAACATCTGGCATGTACAAGATCATTTGTTGCTTTTTAAATGTTTCAAAGACACTTTGATGTATGACGTCCTCCACAAAGCTTGACTCAACAGCGCTCTCATGTGGTTACATAGTAGAGGGTCACTTTGGGTACACTTAACTGTGATGTGCATGTGCCTACATACTGTGGTTATCATTTGCATACTTGTTTGGATGTATGCTGTTTTTGCTCAGTTATGTCACAGTGATATCAGGAATCATTATAAATCAGATTCTGTCCACCACTGTTACAATCTTTTCAGTTCCCTTAATGCATATAAATTTGTCTTCTTCTATTCAGTCTCTGCTACCTTTGATGGATTGAAGTGAAATAAATAAGACTTTGTCTTGAATTCACCTGGTCAGTGCAGGCGTTTCTGTTGTTGCACTTAGCTTAAGTTGCAGACCAGGCCATATCAGACGCAAATTACTTTGGTTACTACTCCAGAGGCTCTTGGCAGAAAATGATTGACTATTTCTAAATGTCTTTCTTTGTCTTTTGTGGGTTGTATTTGTCTCTGTTTGTCATTTTTGATGTATTTTCTGTTGCTAGCCTGCCAAGCTGGGAGCTATGGAGAAAACTGTCAGCTGACCTGTGACTGTGGAGAAGCTCCTTGTGATCCTGTAACAGGACAGTGTGTCTGTCCCGCTGGGAAGACAGGACACTCCTGTCAAGAAGGTAGTTTATTTTGTGACACTGCCATTTAATATTAGTTTTAGGACATTTTATTCTGATTATGTTGTAGCTCATAGAGAAAAGAAAATGTGATGACAACCGGTTCAAATTCACTGACATAACAAGCTTGCAGTATTATCTTTAGCCCACTGTGGTGTTTGTGTGCTTTGTCCTTATCTCCTCCGGATTATCCACACATTTTAGGGCTTTACAGAGAAATAACTAACACATAAGTGGTTTACTGCTCAGTTAAACTGCAAGAAACTTGATGTTCTTCAGACTGTCCTCATGGATTCTGGGGGTTGAAGTGCCAGTCATTTTGCCCTAACTGTGAGAACAGAGGCTCCTGCAATAAGCAGACTGGAGGCTGTGACTGCAAGCCAGGCTTCACTGGAAGCCTCTGCCAACATGGTGAGTGTCAATCATATTGAAACACCAGAAGAAAAAACATTTTAATTGTTTTTCTTTTAAATTTAGGACTATTTGGACCAATCAGTCACATTTCTATGTCATAAATAGACAGAATTATTCAATAGTTGGATGAATGAATAAACTGCTGTAATGATCTGCATTATATTTGGATTGTGTTTGAAACAATCTATATAGTAAAGTTTCATTTAAATCAAAGATATTCTTCACTTCCACTAACCAAGTGTCGAACTAAAGCATGGATGTTTGTTGTGTGTAACATAAACCAGACTGTTTATTGTATTGTTCATGCCACCCTGATGCCACCTGTGACCCACAGACTGGACACTGTGTCTGCCCTCCTGGCAAAGCAGGCTATGACTGTGCAACATGTAATTATCCTTACAAATACAGTATAATACTTCTTTTCATTTCTTTGTGTTATCTTTTAAGACAATGCAGGGGTGCAGAAAAAACAAAAAGTATCATCAGCATATCAAAATCTTGTACATAACTTTCACTGCAACATTTGCTGACCTTCGTAGCATCTGGTTAGTGGGGCCAAGGGTGCACCATTAAATGTCAGTGCCAGGAGAGCTCTCTGGGCTGTGACCCAGTCACTGGTCAGTGTGTGTACAGTGCTGGCTTCACCGGAGACCACTGTGAAAAGAGCAAGCAACTTCACAGATGTTTTAGTAAATGGTGCCACCATGGGGTGAGTCTCAGTTATAACATCCCATGAATTCATTTGCAATACTGAAAGTTATTTCCTTTCTATCATAACATGCATTATTTGAGTACATTTTTCATTTGACCCTGGAACTTGTAGTTTACTGTATAATTAGAGATTTAAATGCAGCGTATGAAGCTCCTGTGCACTTTTGACTAGAATCTTTCATTTTGTATCCATTCCAAGTAGTTTTGCTAATTTTCTCTTAGAACTAAGAACACAGGTAATCAAAGATCATCTCTCACTAGTACAGAGCCCTCTTTCCATTTCTCTTTCTGTCCCCCACACATGAACCTACCCACAAACAAACCACAATCATTTCCTAAGAACTCACCTTTAATTCATTTAAACTTCAAACCAGTGCCCTAGTAGTTTGTGGTAACTCCTCCTTACTGTAGGTTGGACACTGCTGTTCACACTTGGCTTCAACATGCAAGTTTGGTGATCAAATCACACGTGGACAGCCCACTTGAAAATGTACGAAACCCATACAGATGTTTTCCTCAAATAACTGGAGGAAAACAGTTTACAGATGCTCCTCCATCCAACTGTTGGTTGGACAAAATGTGCACTTTAGGACATTGTAATGGGCTTTAAAAATTTTTTTTACCTACCTTATTTGTTTGTTAAACTATGATTACCTTGTTGGGCTGTGAGTGATGAGTTTACCCTCAACATTATCACTCTTTATCTCTATATACAGTAGAGGGCACTGTAAGGCCTCTCTCTGATTTCTTCAGGGCTTCCATGGTTCAGTGAATCATCACACATTCAATGAATCATCAACTTCTCCATGTAATGTCATGAGCTAAACCATTTTAAAACCACACAGATCATTTTGGGATAGATGTATTTCATAGGATCCAGAGTATTTTCAAGCACGCTGCCATAGCAAACCCTTCATGTAACTAATATTCATCTCATCATTATGATATTCTTCTGAACTGTGGGACATACCAACAGTCAAAGAGTCTTAACAACATAATAGATTTGATCTTGATTATAGTCCTTTGACTTGAAGTGGCCTCGTGTTATTACAAAGTGTACGATTTACTGTAAGTGTAATACCAGGCCCAGAAACTCATACCACCCCTGTAGTACATGGGGCATCGTAAATCATGGCTGTGTCACACTAGAACAGAGCTTCACGTCCCTAGTCATAACAGTTTAATGGCCTCAGACGTGGACGCCACCCTGATTGGATGTTGCAGTGGAAATCGTGCTATCGGTCTGACCAGATTTTGTTCTCTGAAGGTCTTTTCCCCTCAGACATAGGTGTCCAGTTTCTCCGTCTTCTGCTGGGCCTCTTCCTTCAGGAGAAGTCAGGAAGAGGCCGGCGCTGTGAGACGTACCAGATCTCTTTAGTTCAACTGTTTTACAGAATTAAAATGGAAAGGGATGTCTGATTCTGTGTGTGGGATTTTCATCCACACTCTGGCATATACAGTATCTCCTTGTTCAAGTGATTCTACAAGGCTTAAAAAACTTACTATGGCTACTATGGTTACTATGGCTAAAGCATTGTTTCATTAAGCATTTTTGTGGTGGTGAGGCTGATGCTTTTCAGTGAAATTTTACTGAAGGAAACGAGCCATTTTGCTGACGTAGGTCTTATACTAGAAAATGTCTTCAGTTAACATGGACTGTGCTCTGTTTCAGATTTGATGCTTTCATCAAAAATACATAATTTGGTTGCAGTAAAAAAAAAAAAACAGCTTCACTGGCATTGAACATCTGCATTATTGGCAAAGAAACTGGGTTGTTTTGTTGTTGTTGTTATTGTGTTGACCTCTTTCAGTGTATAGACTGAATAGCACCAGGAAGTTCTATTCTGTGTTCTCTCTATCCGCTCTATTTCTGTGGTCTGCTCTAACAGGCGGTGTGGTCCCCGGACCTGCTTTATGGGCTGACAGCAGTGGCTCTTACACAACCAGGGATCTGGAAATAATCCTCCTGTCTTAAGCTCATTTAGTCTAGAGATGAAGCCTTTCAGCATTGACACAGTGTGTGTATGTGTGTGTGTGTGTGTGTGTGGGTGTGTGTGTGAGGTGGTGGGCTGAATCCTTTGTGCCCACCTATAAACAAAGACTCAGAGGGAAGAGTCTACACTTACAAACACTAGCAGAAACTATTAATATCACATGACAGATTCCTGCTCTGGAGTTAATGTGGAACCCTGGCGCCCCCTGCTGGCACTAAAAATAAACTTTGCTATTCAGATGCCTCAGTATAACACATGAAGTTAGAGTAGAGTACAGGGTACTACAATAAACTGTGAAAAGGAAGGAAAGAATTTTAACAAGTTGATTTACTGTGTCTGGTATTAAGCCCCCTTTAAAAGGGAACATCACTCATTTTAAAATCAGAGCTGTGTTGAGCTGTTTCATTTTCAGAGCATCTTGAAACATTTTCTTAAAGGGTAGAAAGACCATCTTGTTGCCATGGTGTCAGCAACTGTTATCATAATAATCAACACCAGATAATAAACCACTGTTTTTGCTATAATACTACCACAGATTTAATGTACAGCTGGGTAAAAATGACAGCATCCTCAGTGGGCTGGCTTTAATAATATTTCAGCCTAACCACTACAGAGACAGGCAAAGATGTCATGCTGTCAGCGTGGGAACATGGCAATACCAGAAACCGCTAAGCAGGAAAGGTACTTTTCCACTTTGAAGCATTAAGGCAGAAGAAGTAGGAGTAGGCAGCATCATCAACTGGAGAAGGAGAAAGAGAATATGATGCATAAACTGTAGGGGAACACCCTGATTACAGTAGTGTGGCATTTATAATACATAAAACCACCAAGTTACAAATTTGTGTTGTGCTCCCAGTATGTGGCTTCCTTTAGTAACATTGCCTGCTGCTCTCCTTATAGATAGAAGTGGCATGTAAATGAAATGACAAGCTGCTGGCTGCTGAGATGACTGGGACAGGCTTTACCCAAACCCTCACCAGACTTTGATTTTCTCACATATTACTGCAAAAAAACCAGCAGAAAGTACTCAAGGAGGCATGTTTCTGACTTGAGCAGTGCAAGAGCAGCCTTCCTGTAAATAAAGATTGGAAAGGGAGGAGCTTTTTGTTTTGCAAAGTACAATTATGCTGATGTCTTCAGTGACAAATTGAGCGATAAAAAAAACAACAACAAAAAAAAACCAGGCCGTGAATAAACATAGTCTTTCCTGCTTTGGTGAAGTCATGCATACAGACATCCTAGTAGTGGAAAGGCTTATTCATTCCACAGTTTTTGTGAACAGGGGCAAAATGTTTACCAAACTCTCTGAGTGTCAACTGACTCTACACACACTTAAACAATCTCTCTGGCTCACCTTGACAATGGGAAACAGACTCTTACACTGACATGTCATTGCATCAGCACCAGTGCTGTAAGTGTATGTGCATGTGCGTGCTGGTGGTGGTGGTGGGGGCACAGTAACCTGACTTTGTTTTGCAGTGTATTGGCGTATCAGTGGGGCCTGTGGACTCAGCAGGTGCTCTAATTACCAGCTCTCTGTGTGCCCTCTACCCCTAAAAGGGAATGGCCTCCGAACCGCCTGACTTTGATGTGGTCCAGATCCACCACACATGTGGGACATGAGCTCACTTAACAAACGCAGATGCTCTGCAAATGAACAGCCACAGCATGGTGCTGCAATTTGATATTAGTTTTTTCAGTAGGTGGGAAGACAGAGAGAGAAAGTAGGAGGGGAAGAAGAGAGTGAGAGATGGGAAAGGGAAGAGGGAGAACTAAATAAAAAAAGTGCATCTAAACCTTTTCCTCTCTGCTTTTGTGAAACTGCCAGTTCTAACCATTCGGGTGTTTTATCTTGGCCCACAACGTGCCCAGGCAGCTTTTAAGGTCTTGACTGTGGCCAGATGTGCAAGTGCGGGAACGGTGCCCACTACCACCACATCACAAGAGCCTGTCTATGCACCGCTGGCTGGGCAGGACCACACTGCACTCTGGGTAATGGAAGCCACATCATTAAAACAGGGTGTGAGGGTGGCCCTCACTGCAACCCATCATGACATCCTCTCCTTAAGCACAATTATGATGTATTTGCGAACAATTATCTCTATAATGAGACACTGGCAATTGTTCAGGGATAGGTAAGGTTGAAGAAAGGAGGGAGGACAAGAATACGCCCACTGGCATATATGGTTTAATTGACGTCTATTCAGTATAAATGGACCCACGTGTTTGTGGCTATCAACTTTAGGAAAGGGAGAGCATAACTGGAAGAGTCTTTTCTTTCCTAGCTAACCAATTCATGTTCTCATGCTAATGTTTCTTAAGGATATCATTGTTTTAATGAATCCAGTGAAATGGCCACTAAAGTTCTTAGTGTGTCATTCTGTAATCTTATTCAAGACCTTCCTCTTGCCACAGCCCTTTCGTGGTCATAGCTACCAGTGCCAGAGTCAGCAGAAAGCCACTAGTATGACTTAATAATGAATCTGTCAATAGCGCATTTTCCTCTTTTTAACCTCCAAATGTCATCTTGGACTTTGATCATTCAGGAGACATTTACAGAATGTGTGCTGAAAACTAATGCTCCAGAATGTCCTGAATCCCTCTAGTCTTATACACCTGCAGTGCATGTTGCTGCAGTGCATTCTAATGTAATACTGAACGTGTTCTCAGTGTGTATGTGTGCTTATTATGCTTTGTGTGTGTTCCTGCTTATACGCGTAGTTTGCGCGGGCAGAATGCCCAGAGGGTCATTTCGGAGAGCACTGCAATCAGACCGGTGAGTGTCAGAACAGAGCCAGGTTTGACCACGTCACTGAGCGATGCAGGTGTACTGCTGGGTGGACTGGAGGCAGCTGCCAACTGCATGAGTAGCTCATCACTCACTCCCGCAAAATGACATTGAATAAAGCTGTTATAATATTTTCTGCTTTGCTTTCTTAAAGGACCATACCAGGTAGATTGCATCCCTGATCACATTTTACATTTTACAAAGCACACTGCTGTGTTCAGGACCTCTGGTGGTTGCATCTGTTTCCACATAATATGAGAATCAGTAGGGAGACTCTTAAAAATGTGATTATTTGATAGATGTTAAGATTTCACACCACTGTTTTAATAACTTCAGTGAAATGCCCATATATAATGCAGAAATATGGTCAGCAATATACAGTATATTTCTAGAATTACTGTTATAAGGTTATGAAGTGCTGACTTTGTTAATCAATTTGCTTTTAAACTGAAATCAGACTTGACCCTACCGCTATGGTGTACACAACTCAATCAAAAATATATGGAAAACAATAGATGCCTGGAGGAAAACACATGTGAAAAAACTAACTGAACAAAATCTAAACTCAAATCTAACCTGAATTTGAAAATAAGCAAAAATATAAAAAAAATAGTCTTGATTTGTTGCTGAGCTAAAACTTGCAACTCACAGAACATGAATTTAAACTGAATTTGGTAAGCAAGCTTTTTTAATACAGCTCCTTATACATGGAACACTTTGCAAATGAAGTTAAAATTGCATTCACTGGTTTCTTTAGGTAGATTTAAAGCTTTGCTGCATGGAGTCGGTGCTTTGTCAAGTACGTGCCACAGTCAGGGTGTTTGTTAATTCTATTCGTTTTAATGCTTTAAAATAGTGCATCTGATTATCAATTGCTTGCTTGGCTGGTGGGTGTTATGGATTTCTTTGTATTGTCTGTATCTGTGTTGTTTGTCATTATTGATTTTGTTGCTTATCTTGGCTGGGACACTTGAGGTCTTCCTGGTTAAATAAAGGTTAAGTAAAATAGATCAATAATATTGACTACATTCACTGTCAATTCTCTACTCATAATGATGCCTTCATTATTTGCTCATTCATATAATTTAACTGCCTGTATTGTCTTATATATCTGTGTGAGTATAGCCTGTCCTGTAGGACAATATGGGGAACACTGCTCTGGCCAGTGCCCGTGTCAAAACGGAGGCTCCTGTGACAACGTGAGTGGCCAGTGCTCATGCCCACCTGGCTGGACTGGAGCCACCTGTGAGTTAGGTGAGCCTTAACTTCTCTTGATCAAACTTTTTTTCTACTTGTCACTTGTGTTCAATACCTTGATGAAATATTTCTGGTATTTATGAGATAAATAATGTAATTAATAATGTAATTAATGTAACTTTGCTCTGAGGTTTCCTGTCCCTCTCTTCTAGAGTGTGAGGAAGAACGTTATGGAGAAAACTGTACCCAGACCTGCAGATGTACAAATGGAGGGAGATGTGACCAAGTGACCGGACGATGTGTCTGTCAACCTGGTTGGATAGGAGAACTTTGTCAGTCAGGTGAGTTCCTGAAGCTCAGCACAGTGGCATTATTTAGCATATTTTAGTTTTTGATTGGTACACTACATTTATATGTATGGTATGATATGGTATTATGTGTATGGTGTGTACAGTACTGGATTATTAGTTTTTCACCTGCCACATTGACATATATACTGTAGATATCCTGTAGTTATCCTGTAGATCTTGTGTATACTGGCTAACCTGCTTCTACTGCCTGGTGAAGACTTGAAATACATGAAGTACAGCCTTTCTCTCACTTTGCATCTGTGCTATAATTTGTTAACATAAAACAGAAGCAAAGGTTTATTTGCTTCTGGAATCATAAAACTCTCTTTGTCCAAACAGTGTGCGTAATTAGCCCTTGGGTAAATAAGCATAAAAAGAGAACATTTTAATTTTTGTTCTCAGACTAATGTTGCATGTTCGACATGAAAACTTGCATGTTTTGTCTGAAGCCTGCTCTAAGGGATTCTTTGGAGAAGGCTGTGTGCAGAGATGTGACTGTGTCCATAGTTCCAGTTGCCACCATGAGACAGGCTACTGTGTGTGTGAGCCAGGCTGGAGAGGAGCCAGCTGTGACAAACGTAAGTGCATACGACAGAGGAAATTGCAGCTGAATGAAATTGGCAATAGAGTAGCTTTGAACATGAGAGTGTATGCCTGCAATATGTTGACTCCCAGCATGCCTCCCGTGGAACCTACGGTGCCTCCTGTGCCCAGTGTCAGTGCCAGGCCAGGGTGTCCTATTACGGTGCCCAACTGGCTTTGTAGGATTCAACTTAAATTATTTCCAGCTATTTAAGTGGAAATGTAATCATTTAAACATAGCTGTTTTATAAGAAATTGTTGCAACGTATCTAATATCACTATTTGGCTGGCATTTTCACCATGTTGATAAAAACAGTCACACTGTAACACACCACTCCTGTCAAGGTGGAAAGGCATCATGGGATTGAAGTGATAATCAAGAATCCTTCTGTTGATACTAATTAAATGTTCCTCTTGGGAAAGATGATCATTTATTACAATCCAGGAAGTGCACTCATTTTATGCCAGTGTTTCATTATTTAGACTATACCATTTAAGACTATATACAAGCAGCTTCAGTATTCAGCCCTTCACCACTCCCACCCCCTCCCTTCCTCTCCTCACTCACTCCCCAGACATCTGATAAATGTTACACACCGGTTGCCAAGTAAAACAGAAGGCATTGTTTTTGTCTCCTCAGTGGCGGATAAGGGCTTTTGGAAGGCAAACATGCATAATGACAGCGCTGTAATTGCCTCTTTAGTCTGGAGTCCTTTCTTATCTGTTCCCCACACGGCCTGCTGCTGCTTGACTGAGTAGCTGAGTGCTACGGTCTCACAACAAAACATATTCGGTTCACAGATTCATCTTGTTCATTATGACTGATTGTTTGTGGACTCCATTCATTATTGTGATGAGCGAATGTATGCAAAGGGTGTGTGAAAGAATGTCCTTCTGGGTTTGGGCTCAAGGGAAAGTTTTGGTTTTGTTACCAGTCAATACTCAATGTCCCATGTTCACAGCGTAACCCGAGGAAGGAAACAGAAATGGCATTTGTCTTAATGTGCATGTTTGAGACCCTGTCTGCCGCCTTAATTTAACCAATACTATGCATAACTGTACATTGTAATGCTTTACAGTGTATGCTGCAGTTTCAGTTTTCAGCATTCATTCTTTTATGGTGTGAAAAATATGTAATTTTCACAAAAAGCATTAATTCTAATACTAGTTATTTTTGACCCACTTGTGGGAGAGTAGTGGTGGAAGACGTATTCAGATCCCTTACTTAAGTAAAAGCAGTAATACCATGATGTAAAATACTCGGTTGCAATTAAGTCCTGCATTTAAGTTGTTACTTAAGTAAGAGTACAAAGTTTATGCATCAAAACATACTTAAAAAGTAAAATTACTCATTATGCAGAATGGAACATTTAACATTGATGCATATCATATTATTAGGTTAGAATCACCGATGCATTGTGTATATTACATTTAATGTTGCAGCTGGTAAAGGTAGAGCTAGTTTTAAGTAACTTATATGCATTTAATTTGATGTACTTTACATACTGCTGGGTAACTTGTGAATTTTTCACCAAAGATCAATAAAGTCTTATGATTATTGAATAATTTTTGTATTAATCTGGTTCTGAAAAGTAACTAGTAACTAAAGTTATAAAAATAAATGTACAATATTGCCTCTAAAATGTAGTGAAGTCAAAGTATGAAGTAGCACAACATGAAAATACTCAAGTAAATTAGAGATACCTCAAATGTGTGCTTAAGTACAATATTTGAGTAAATAAACTTAGTTATGTTCCACCACCGTGGAAGAGTGTACAGTAGTGACCTGTACATCTAAGAGTTAATTAAATTTTCCCTGTGCCTCTTTTTCCTGTGTCTGAATAAATAGTCCTACTGCTGTGTGTATGTGATATATTTCTGAATGCATCATCTTAGCCTGTCCTGTTGGCACTTTTGGACAAAACTGCACTCAGCTGTGCCAGTGTTCAGGAGACCGAGAGCAATGCCATCCTGTGACGGGGAAATGCAGCTGCTTACCTGGTTACTACGGGATACGCTGTGAACTACGTAAGTATATTGTTGATTTTTTTTTTTATTGTCCATTTGGAGGAGGCATGTGCCAATACTCTGTTGGAGATGATAGAATTATAATAGAATCACACTTATGTCAAAAATTCATATTCTGTAATATTTGTAAATAAAAGCCAGTGAGGGCTTAGGTGGACTTCTCCTCATCTGCCATTATGTTGGAGTGTCGGTTTCCTATTTTTATGACAGTTGTAAAATACACCATATGGTTATGTATAATTTCTTCAAAGCATTTATTCTGCAAGTAAAATAACCTAAACCTGAAAACCTTGATCAAATACTTAAATACCCTAACAACAATGGCCTCCTTTACTCTTTTTCTTTTCTTTCCTTCTCAACACTATTGTTGCCTGCAGGATGTCGAGCGGGGACATTTGGGACAAACTGTAAGTCCAGGTGCAGCTGCGTCAATGGTGGTCGCTGTGACTTCAGGACTGGGGCTTGCTACTGTCCTCCTGGCTTCATTGGTGCTGATTGCAGCTCAAGTAAGTCAAGAAGCCTTGCACCTGTATTCCACAATGAAAAGTCTTTATATACCCCTTTATTATTCCTACTCTGAGTTGGTGTTTTGGGCTGTCAGCCTAACAAATGTATTGGAAAATTCTGGTCAACCTCTACTGAGGTGACCAATAAGGCCTTTGAAATTAAGATATCTATCTTCAGAACTTTTTAAATTGAACTTGTGTGTGTGAATGAAGGTATGTTTATGTCTGTAGGGTGTCTGAGTGGGTACTATGGGAAGGACTGTGCTAAGCTGTGCTCCTGTGGGGATGGAGGGCAGTGCCACTCAGTAACTGGCATGTGCATCTGTGGCCCTGGTAGAATGGGACAGTCATGCCAACAAGGTAACTCTAAAAAGATGTTTTTGATTTGTAATTGACTTGTGTTTGAGAGCTGTGACATACCAGACCTTGTTTCTTATGATTTCAATTAACAATGTGAAATTTTGCTTGGCAAATATTATGCCATTGTGAATAATTGTAATAATTGACATCAATTTAATCAAAGTCTGACACATAAGCTATATTTTATAAGCTATAAGATGTCATTATTAGTAAATATAGAAATTATGCACCTTTGTATTATGGAGCCAAAGAGTAAACCCAGTGTGTTGCAGCACTTTTAAAATTTAGTGACTTTTTTGGGTCAAGACAAAATACAATATGTGCTATCTACTAAATAACAGGAGGAGGTTTATAGTTTAGCTTTGAGTAAAGCCATAGTCTTATCACAGATATGGTTTGTATTTAGTTTTTTATCTTTTACCATTCTCTTGAGCATACAAAGAGCCACCTCTCACATCCATCAGTGGGAAGCACTGGCCATAATGAGTTCTGCAAAAATAAGTGATCAAACTGGAAAGTAAGAAACAACCACTAAAATGAGTGTAATTTTCAGCATTTCTAACTATATATTTAAGTAACAGATGTCAATTTCCTCAGTGTGAGACCTCTGATGATTAGAAGGGATTAGAAGGCTGTTTTCCCAGGAAAGAGAGGCAGAGCTTCAAGCGGGGCTTCCCAGCGCTACTTGTGCTAAATGTTCTCCTCTCTAGCCTCCTGTATGTACTTGGACATATCACCTCTTAAGTTCCCTTGTTGAATGTTTACAGAAACCTATAAGTAGCTCCTTCTCCGTGTTCCGTGTTGCTGGATTTGGCAAAGAAGCAAATAAATAAACAGGGAAATCAAAGACGGCTTGCGTTTCCAATCTAAATTACCCAAAGAGACATGATTATTCTTTTATATCAGCGCCAAATTAGACTACTTTGCCATCTTTTTAACGAACTGTTGCTTAAGTAAACATGAATGTGGTTAGTGCAATCTTGCATGTACTGTATGTATGGATGTGAGAAAGCCAGACAGAGCACAGGCTGTACGCTGTGTGTTATCTGTATGTTACACAGATACAGTAATTGTGATTTCTGAGTAGAACAGAAGTGATCAAATTTCTTGTCTTGGTCTGTTCTTTCTGAATGTTTCTACAGTATGTCCTAGGGGGCATTACGGCCTGCAGTGCAGAAATACATGCAACTGTCAGAATGGGGGTCTATGTGACCCTATTGATGGATCCTGCAAATGTGGGCTGGGCTGGACTGGACCTCACTGTGACACAGGTACAACACAACAGAAAATAATCCAAACTGAACAAAAGCTTACTTACTGTACATCCTTAAAAACACATATCAAAGTAGCTGACTGTTGTGGTATTATGTCAGTTTTTTCAAAACTTGTCACTTCTGATCATATTGACAGTGCTTTCAATGCAAAGATTTCTTTTGAATCATGTTGTTTATGATCATGGTTTCTTCATGTGTAACAGAGAGAAACTGATATTGGAGCCTAACTTGTTACTAAAAATTCACAATCCAGATGCCTGCTTTTGACATCAACTGCTTAGAACATTGTGTTGCAATTAAAGGCCCTTGAGTGGTTTAGATCTTATCTGGCTGATAGACCTGTTCTGTTTGTATGGGCACCACAATGTCCTCCACTGTCTCTTTCCTGTGGAGTCCCACAGGTATCTATCTTGGGCCCGGTTTTGTTTTCACTGTACATTCTCCCCTGGGCTCTTTCCACTGTTATGCTGATGACCTTCAATTGTATTGACTGCTGAAACCTGGCGTTCTTGATCCATTGAAACAAATCTCTGGGTGTTTATCAGATATAAAAAATTATAAGGCTATTGTGTATTTTAATGAAGCAAAGGCAAAAATCCTGATGATCAATCCTGGTGGAGGTCATGGAGCCACAAATATTGATTTAGGGCATTCAGATCTTTTTACTAAACCTACTGTCAAAAACTTGGGCGTTACTGTGGACTGTGACTTGGATAAACAGGTTAATTCCGTTGTTAAAGATAGATTTTTCAACTTAGACCTCTGTCAAAAGTTAAATGTTTGCGAGCTTTAATATTTTTGAAAAGCTCATACATGCTTTTACCTCATGTCATATTGACTATTGTGGCTCCCTTTATGTGGGCATAAATCTATTGTCCTTAGATCATCTGCAATCGTTCCAGAATTCTGCAGCACATTTAATGTCAAGTATTCGCAAACATGAGCACATAACACCTATTCTTGATTCATTTTTCACTAGTTCTTGGCTCCCTCACTTTAAAATACTTCTTCTGACTTATAGAGCCTTAAATGGTTCTTCTCCCTCTTATATGCTCAATCTTTTACATCCCTATGTTCGTGCTGGAATGTTTAGGTTTAAGGACCAGATGCACCTCTAGTGGTCTCGAAGGTGAAAGTGTCTTTTTTTTTTTTTTTTTTGCAGCCCCTACTTTGTGGAATAACCTTCCTCTGCATATTCGGATGGCATCAACTGTTTCTGCTTTTAATTATCAACTTAAAACTTATTTTTATTCTCTTGCTTTTAATCAACATTCAGTTTTTAGTCTAGTTCAAACCGCTTTTAATTTTGTTTTCTGGTCTGGAGGCCACAATGCCCTTTATGGTTTATGGTGTCTTTTTATCTTCTGTCCTTTTGTAAAGGACGTTGGCCAACTTCTAGTTGATTTTAATTGTACTATATAAATAAAATTGACTTGACTTGACTATATGCATGTGTGTGTGGATGTGTGTGTGTAGTCTGTTCACAGGGAAAATATGGGCTTGACTGTACACAAGACTGTCCATGCCACAACAATGGGACCTGTGATCGCTTTGTTGGCAGCTGCAGCTGTAGCGCTGGTTACTACGGCCACTACTGTCAACACAGTATGCAAGCCCTCACTTATAATACAAAAAGAAACTTGTAAAGCATTGACACTTTAAAATATGTATGATTTTTTTCTTTGCTCCTTTTGTGAAATACGTAGGTGATAGTCTGTGACTTGAATGAACCTTGATACAACATGAATACAAAGACAAGTAACTCTCACTAAACTGTGTTTCATGTGTCTCTCCCAGGATGCCCTTCTGGGTTTTTTGGTGTGAACTGTGCCCATACCTGTGACTGTAAGGTGAGACAGACATGTGACCATGTGACAGGGCAATGTGTGTGTCCACCGGGCTACTACGGGCCACAGTGCCAGAGACGTGAGTACATACTGTATGATTATTCTTATAAAATCCATAAAAGTACATGTTAACCTATCCTCGACTTTACAGTTCAATGGCACCATGAAGACAGAAACATTATCATGCTCTCAGTCACAAGTGTGTTACCCTTAAAATACAGCCACCTGGATGCACAGCTGCAGTTGTACATGGGTAGATACTGGATGTGTATGAATAAAGACAACATTTCCAAAGGTTCTCAGTGTTTACAGTGTAGACAGGCTAGTAGGTAGGTGGTCAGGCTGGTTATATGATGAAAGACAGGTCGTAAATGGCCATTTCAGTCACTGATGTAAATCTGGTCTTTATGGAGACAAAGAGCAAGTCCCTAAAACCTAAATCACTACATGTTAGAGTGATGACTTGGTTTAAGGTTAGGTGTTAGGCCAGTAGGGGTTATGGTTAAGTCTCCAAGAAATGAATGTAATCAGTCTGTGTAACAAAATGTTTTTATCACTAAATGCACTTATGAATGTGAGTGAATCTATTTTCACCAGTACAGGGCATTTCATCACATATAGACCATTCCTCACACCAAAAGATGAAGTGAAAATAGTTAGCACCGACTCCTGAGCAGGCCCGATGAACATTCATTCATTTTTTTCTACCGCTTAATCCCTGAGCCGCAGGGCTAACACATAGACAAACAACCACGCACATGCATGCACATGCACTCCTATGGGCAATTTAGAGACACCAATCAACCTAAGCTGCATGTCTTTGGACTGTGGGAGGAAGCCGGAGTACCCGGAGAGAACCCACGCAAGCACAGGGAGAACATGCAAACTCCTACTTGTTAATATGCATTGTGTCCATGTATGTAAAAAGGTGCCTACACACCAACAAAACAAAGAGGCTCTTCAAATAAATGTATTGTATGTGTGACAAGTGATAAAATGATAAAAAGTAAATAAAACTGTGAAAAGCTCAGCCAAAGGACGATCAGCACAGCTTACAGACCCAGCCCTTCTACAGGTTTAAATAAACACCCAGGCTCTCGGGACAGTCCAATCAGGGCAAACAAGCACAAGGTGTTTCATATGAACTCATTAGCCACTAAGGTCTGATCACACAACCTGTATGAAGAGCAGAATGTCAGGCAAGCTGTAGATCCACTATGCATTCATATACATACAGAAAGATTTATACAGAAAACGGGTACAATAGATCTAAGAAAAAGAAGAAAAGTCACAATATCAGTCATCAAAAAGACACCAATAAACTGTTACAAAAACAATTTAAGGATCATTTTGCACTGGGACCTTCTGGATGTAGTGTTCTCATCTAAAGTATCCATTTAGATTCTGCTCTAAGTAGTTTTTGATCCATGTTACCGAGACACTAGAATAGTTATAAACAGTAAAACCATGCTTATGAGGTCAATTTAACTTTCTGGGCCATTGTCTAGTTTGTTAACTTATCCTGTATGTGACTAGATAAACAGATAAACAAAAATGACAACTGGATTCAGAAAGCTTCCTGTCGCTGTACATGGATAATGCTAGTTGATGTACACACTTAATTTACATTCTTCGGTGCACAGGAGCTAAGAATTACTGTCAGCAACACAAAAGTAGTTTTTATGTTCACAATTTAAACTGTAAATTTAGTGAACCAATAGAATATTGTTCTTGTAGTAGAGCAAAGGAAATTATGTACTGGATCTGTGTGTATCAGTGTTTTTTGTTTGTATGTTTTCAGGGTGTGAAGCTGGCAGCTTTGGACTGAATTGTGAACAGTCATGTGACTGTGCTGGTGAGGTGTCATGCAGCCCGTCAACCGGACGCTGCCTCTGTCCCCCAGGGAGGACAGGACAGCGATGTGAAAAGGGTAGATGTCATCTTGAGGGAACCTGGCAGCAAAAATCCAAACTCAGTGTTAACATATAGTTGGCAGAAATTCATGTGTCTGTCATACAGAATCTCCTTCCTTGTTTTTCAGACTGCGGTGGAGACAGTTTTGGGCCGGACTGCTCCCTGTCATGCCAGTGTTCCCACAGGGCCCGCTGTGATGGGCTGACTGGGCGATGTTTGTGCCCACTCACCTGGATGGGCCCCACCTGTAGTGAAGGTAAACCTAGTGTCCTTATAAAACCCCCTCCCCCACAACGATCCCCACTTAGCTAAAACAAAATGGACACACACACACACACACACACACACACACAACCAGTCACACAGGGTCAGGGGCTGTAAAGCTGAACCAGCTGTAGTGAAATATTGTGTCATGAGGTGTGAAAGGCTGAGCCCTATCACTCTGTGTGGCACCCTGTCTTCCTCAATAGCTGTTCCTGTCTCCTGACAGTTATTTTAATCTGCACCCAGCATGGAGCTGGGCTTGAAGCTGTCTCTGTTTTACCTCGTCAAAGCCAAGCACACGGGTGACTGCGTACCAGTTACTTCTCTTCCAAAAACTGCAGAACATTTGCTTTTGATTTTCAAATTGTGCTGAAGTCTTCTAGCTTTTCTTCCTTTTCAGCACTGCTACACCGAACTCCAGGATTACTGAACTTCTCTGTGTCCCAAAGAAAGAGAAGAGCAGGCAGCAAAACCACATAACCCAAGCAGAGGTGCACACTCCTGATTGGGCGTTCAAACGCAGGGCTTGGCTCGGTTGTTTCAGTCAAGGTGTTATTAGTATTGATATGTTTTGTGAAACTGGTCCTCAGCTGTCAGAGACTGGCACTCCATTACTGAGCCTGGAGATAAACCTGGAATGTCAGGGGTCCTCAAGGGACCATGAACTCTAAACCTATTTAGAGTCAAGAGGTACACAGACTTCTTAGCAATACTTGCATCATATTTGTCACTATTTCTGATTGAAGTTAATTAATTTGCTTTCCAGTTTGGTATTGACAAAAGTTGTTAAGGCTTCAGTTTCTTTTTTAGGGGTATTTGAATGAGAAGTGATTCAATCTGAGACATTCTTGACACTTGAGTGTCTGCATAAAACTTGATGGTTAGCATAACAGAACACAAAGCATATTTCTGGTTAAATGCCTCTAAAACTGATTTAGAAATATATGGGTGACTTATACTTATCCACACATACAGAGAACGCAGCCATGTGAGTGACAAACATATGTTCAGTAGAAAAAACTTAAATGTTGAAGCAGAAGGTTTCACAGTAAAAAAAAAAAGCCTCCAACCATAATTGAAGAAATATAAAAATACTGAGCTTTGAATAATGATTTATGTCTGATATGTTTCTCTTTTTCCCACAACAAAGTTCAATAAATACCACAAATCAAATATCAAACATCTACACTAAATGAAGTAAATGGACTTATACTTGTATGCATCTATGCACTGCGGCACACTCAAGGCGCTTTCACACTATTTTCCCATTCACCCATTCCCAAGCACACACACTCACACACACCCGTGATATCACTGGGAGCAACTTGGGGTTCAGTGTCTTGTTCAAGGACACTTTGACATGTGGACTGGAGAAGCCAGGAATCCAACCACCGACCCAAAGCCTGAGCCATAATCGCAAAGCAAAACACACTTTTGGGGAGAACTTTAATACAGTGCCTTGCGAAAGTATTCAGCCCCCTTGAACTTTGCGACCTTTTGCCACATTTCAGGCTTCAAACATAAAGATATAAAACTGTAATTTTTTGTGAAGAATCAACAACAAGTGGGACACAACCATGAAGTGGAACGAAATTTATTGGATATTTCAAACTTTTTTAACAAATAAAAAACTGAAAAATTGGCCGTGCAAAATTATTCAGCCCCCTTAAGTTAATACTTTGTAGCGCCACCTTTTGCTCCGATTACAGCTGTAAGTCGCTTGGGGTATGTCTCTATCAGTTTTGCACATCAAGAGACTTAAATTTTGCCCATTCCTCCTTGCAAAACAGCTCAAGCTCAGTGAGGTTGGATGGAGAGCATTTGTGAACAGAAAAAGTGTCGTTTAAAGTTTGCCCCAAACGACCTGGGAGACACACCAAACATGTGGAAGAAGGTGCTCTGGTCAGATGAAACCAAAATCAAACTTTTTGGCAACAATGCAAAACGTTATGTTTGATCCAAAACATAAAGCAAAATCTACAATGGAATGGTTCACAAATAAACATATCCAGGTGTTAGAATGGCCAAGTCAAAGTCCAGACCTGAATCCACTCGAGAATCTGTGGAAAGAACTGAAAACTGCTGTTCACAAATGCTCTCCATCCAACCTCACTGAGCTCGAGCTGTTTTGCAAGGAGGAATGGGCAAATATTTCAGTCTCTCGATGTGCAAAACTGATAGAGACATACCCCAAGTGACTTACAGCTGTAATCGCAGCAAAAGGTGGCGCTACAAAGTATTAACTTAAGGGGGCTGAATAATTTTGCACGCCCAATTTTTCAGTTTTTTATTTGTTAAAAAAGTTTGAAATATCCAATAAATTTCGTTCCACTTCATGATTGTGTCCCACTTGTTGTTGATTCTTCACAAAAAATTACAATTTTATATCTTTATGTTTGAAGCCTGAAATGTGGCAAAAGGTCGCAAAGTTCAAGGGGGCCGAATACTTTCGCAAGGCACTGTATATGAAATCAAACAAACTCAAATTGGTAAATTCTTTTTTTTATATTATGCTGAAAATATTTAACTGCATACAAATATTGTAAGTGTAAAGGACGTTTTTCATCCACAAGTTATTCATTATGGCCCATGGAATATGACTCTCCATTCGTCGGGAAAAGTCATGGATGTTCTTGTTGCAGTGCAATGTGTCGGTCTCAAAATACTGCAAACAAAACCATCATGCATTGGACATCTTTCAGTCAGCAGCTGATACAAACTTTGGGAATCTCACAGTAAATGATAAAAGCGAAATATTTTAAAGTGAAGTATGTTTCTTGTGCTACCTATGCACTTTTCTTTGGTTGTACAACATTAGATGTATAATGCAAGATAAGATTACCACTATTGCTGTCATTTTCCACACATGTGAGCTTAATTTAAATGCTTGTACAAAAGCTGTATTTGTATCATATCTCAGGTCAGTTATTGGTCATAACCTACAGGGTTCATACCTATGTCAGTGGTGCTATGTTGTTACATTTTGTTCATATAAATAAGATCAATTCAGCTTTTACTGTGTCATCCCACTGTCTTTTTATTTCTTCCATGATTTTTTTATCATTTGTGCAAAAAGAGCCACGGATTAAATAAATAACAAAAACATTTGTGGACACATGCTTTTTCTGTTTTTGACTTGTGTGTTTTGAATGGTATTGATTTCTGTGATCCATCAGTGGGGTGGGAGAGGTGTAGAGGTAGAAAATAGGGAGAGAGCAGTTCCAGCTGTCATAGAGAGAGACCTACAGTAATGGATCCTTAGTGTATGGACATGTCAGTGTGTTTTTTTTATATGAGGCTACTACCAGGCGTCTTTCATCATGCCTGCCTCTCTGACAGTGGGTGGGGGGTGTGGGATGCATAGGAGCAGTGTGCACTGGTGTTATAATTTGTGTGTATGTGCCTGTTCCTGTGCAGGTGGGGCTGTCAGAGGGGGAGATAGCGCTATACCTGAGGCATTTTTCAAGTGCACTGGAGCATTTTCTCTTCTATTGGCCAAAGGTGGCTGTGGTCTGGCAGAGGTAGGCAAGTGCCTGGACCAAACATGCACCCTGTATGCAGCACACCCAGGGTGAGTGATGGGTGAACGGCTGAGTATGGAGCCCCGCCCCATACCCACTCACCAGTGTGGCTGATGGATGAGGGGAGGGCTGCTCTAACCCGCCCTTTGTTGTGACAAGCAGCAGTTGTTCTCCAATAATGTTTATTGGCCGGGCCTTCGTCTTCAGATGACACACACCTGTTTCCATACAAACAGGCCCAGAGATGCCATCCATCCACTGAGCTATGGGTGGACACTGCACCCGCCCTCCAAACATAACGCTGGGTGCCACAGCAAAGAGCAGAGCCACAAATGAAGAGCTGGCACACCAGCAAGATGTGGCAATAGTGTAAGTGCGATCCTAATGAATGATTACCACACTGCTGCACAGGTGCTCCAGCCTGGTATGTAGAAGAGTTGTTTTTTTTAAGATACTATAGGAAAATGAGTTGATTCAGACATTAATGTGTTTTTCTTAAAATGATCGCAACACTGAAAGCTTTTATCATAAGTGCATGAACAAAATTCTCTTTGTGCTAAAATGACTTTAGAGGGGGAGAATGGCCGAGTGCTGTATACATGCTGGCTTATCAACAGTGAGGGGGACAGAGAAGGGTGTAGGAAACTGGCAATCAAATGGCCCGTAAAAGGCAAGATTGCATCATAGGTACTTTTTCACAGTAATTTAGCATATGCCACTCTTTGCAAAAAAAAAGATTCTATCACTTTACTGCTATAGCTTCAAGTCCCAGAGATCATTTGTGGCCCCCTGCACTGAACCAGATCTCCCAGAGGGCCACAGAGCTTTGAACTCCAGCTGACAAAGATGTTGGCTCAATTAAAAGAATGATCATTTCGACACATCCTGCTCCATTTATTTAGCTGTTGCCTGGAAAAATAAATGTTAAATGTAGAGGCTGCACAAAGATGCCTATCAAGGAACTCTCCCACACTTTGGAATCTGTGTGGTGTGAGGAGGTATCTTTACTTTAGATGTTCCAGCTTGTCCGACCACTTGTAAGTCTGAACAAAAGTTATACATGTGCATGTAAAATGGCATTGTTATTTCTTTTTAACTAGAAACTACAGTATAACTGAATCTTTTGTTTCTTTAATTGGTGAAGTGTTCAAATTTAAATGTGTAGTTGTAGGTAGCTATTTCCACCACTGGATGGCACTCAATATGGAAAAGAGCAGGAACATCTGACCACAACTCTCTCACTCTGGTGGGATAATTACACATGAATGACTGGTTCATGATATAATGTAATTAACATAATAAAGTATGTGCATTAAGTTGTCTGATACTGATAAATATAGTTATAGCTTACTCCAGCAGTAACAGACGCCTATACCCACTCCTTCAAACTGACTTGGCAGAGTGATGAGCTTCTTTCTAATCCACTCCATGAGCACAGAATGAGGTGATTTCCATATTAGACTTCAAGTATTTCTGCCACCACACCTGTTCTGATTGAACTTTTCACATTAAAACCATGTGCACAACTGCTCTGTTCTGTCCTGGGACTGTGCTGAGTGTCCATCAATAACACTAATGACCCGTAGCCTCCAGGGAGGAAAGCAAACAGTGTAATGAAACCACAACCTTAAGCTCTGCTGCTTTCTGCGAGGGAGAGGGCAGGGTTGGAGAAAAGACAAGAAGATGAAAAAGGCTGGCACACACACACACATGCATACTGTAGGAGGACAGTGGGAGAGGAGGTGCTCCCCTTATTGTAAACACAACAAACAACAACTCTAGCTAGGAGCACTCCATTACAACCCCCTCAGCCCCAATTCCTCCTTGAGGGCTACACTCCAACACCCGTCCATGCCCCCCTCTCTGAATATGCTTCCCCTGGCGTCTGAGTCAGCACGAGTGCCAAGTCAATCAGCGTGAGAGCTGCCAGCTGTGATGGCCTCTCTTTCTGGGGGTGTGATGTATGTTACATCAAGGGGAGCAGGGCAGTTACATG